AGCTGAAAATGTCATTTATAAACTCCCTTGTCAAGTTGCTGTCGATGGTAACTTTGGTGTTCAACTTTTGCCGTATTTAAATGGGTTGTAGACGAAAAGTGGCGGATTTAAGTTGATTACCACAAAAATTTACCATGTTTTAAGTTTCTTGTTGTCGAAATAAGTACACATATTAAGAAAAAAAAGGCAAAATATAGGCCCGCCCACCCACCCGATCGCAATTGTGATGATTTTTTTATTCGTCGTGAGCCAAGAAGGCGATTCTTAACTGCAAAATCCTTATTTCTCCACGAGAAATTAAGATGTTTTTGAGTATCGTGTTGTTCAAAGAATACAGTGTAACCTCGATAATCCGAATTAATTGGGGAAAAAATTCCCAAAAATATGAAAAGGAAATGAAAAATAACTTCATACATTGGTAAAAACAAACTTAAAGAAACTTTAATTTTATTAAACAAAAATAAGCAACAATGGATAATCAATATGTATATTCCAAAAAATATTACTCCGTGACATTAAAATTAACGCTATATTTTTGAAATTAGCACGTCAAGATCTATAACCCTGAATTTTTTGAGAATTTTTAGACGATTTTTTTCAAAAATGAAATTTTTCACCATGTATACAGGGTGTCTCTTTTATTTGATACAACCCCTGTAACTTTTTTATTTTTAAGAAAAACCTATAGTTCTTTGAGCAAATTGTATTATTTTAAAGGAACTATGTGATGGGAACCTCACATTTTTATTATAACTTCCGGTAGAACCCGAAATGACGTTAATTTTATTTTTTTTTATGGAACACTAGGTATATTTCTCCATAAATGGAAAGATTGATTTTTTGTAAAAAGTCATAAGCAACTAATATTCTAAAATCATACTTAAAAAGTTATTCAATTAAATAGACGAAATATTCATATTTGTTAATGACAATCTAGTAGCTTGAAAAATTGACACTCACGTCATTTATTCACATAAGTGATCTTTTAAAATGATACAAAATTGCTCAAAGAGCTATATGTTTATCTTTAGAAATAAAAGAAATTTAGGGGTTGTATCAAATTAAAGAAACACGTGGTATACAGCGTGGTATTGAAAGGTACGTACAAAAGAAAATCGGCAATTGGTTTCGAAGTATGGGTGCTAAAATTAAAAAAAAGTTCAGGTAAAAGTGTTCTCCGTTTAGAGATAAAAATTAGTAAAATTTATGCCCAAATTCGTTGTACGCCTCTGATAGCAACAAAAGGGCCTCTTGTTTATTTTTATTTTTGTTACAGTTGCTAGGATTTACAAAAATAAATTAATTTTACCTATTTATCTTCAGTAGCGTCTAAAAAGGTTGGATAAGGGTTAATGTTCCCCTTATTATTTTAATAACACAAAATAAGTTTTTCAGACTTCTTAGACTTCGCGAAGAACTGTCAATTTTGTTGTACGTACCTTTCAATAACACCCTGTATGCAGATTTAGACCCATTTTCGACGATTTTCGAAATTTAACTAAATATATTTTCTTGTATATGTATTCCAGAATCACACATTGAAATGTCGCAATTTTTAAAAATTTCAAAAAATTCAAATGTCACCGAATTTTTGGAAAATATTGCTGGGTGACCCTAAAACGCTATATTTTTGGAATCATATCCCTGAATAGAATATTTAGGGCCGGTTTATAGAACAGCGAGTTAAATATTTAATCCTCGATTAGTTTAACAGAGAATTAAAATGTGGAATATGAGCTCGTGATTGGTTAAAATATGCGCGTTGCCTCGCAACGAACCTCAGTTAAAAGTTAATCGCGAATTAACTTTAACTTCGCTTTCTATAAATCGGGTCTTAGACTTTTTCAAAAATGAAATTTTTCACCCTTATGCAAATTTCTACCCATTTTCGACGATTTTCGAAATTTAACTAAATACATTTATAAAATATTGCGTCATTTTTGCATGTCGGTGCACATTTGCAAGTTCAGTTCGGATTGCAGAGTTTTTGTTCGGATTAAAGAGACTTCGACTTCAACTAGCCTCTGTTCGGATTACTGGATGTTCGGATGATCGTGGGTTCGAATTATAGAGGTTATACTGTACTATGTACATTAAGAACAAAAATAAAGCCAAAGATTAGGCCCATCCATACCCGTCCCAATCTCAGTGTGAATTTCGAATTTTTTGAAAATTTATAAATTATATATTTCATTTAGCGATTCTGGAACAGCGGACATGTTTTAAGTTTCTTGATGCCGAAATAAGTCTACAAATATTAAGAAAAAAAAATGGCAAAATATAGCCCCGCCCACCCGCCCTATCCCGATTGTGATGAGAATAACTGCAAATACCTTAGTTCTTTACGAGTAATTAAAAGCCAAAGATTAAGCCCCACCCACACCTGCCCTGATCTAAATAGTAATGAATTTTTAGTGTCAGGTCGAGGGGCGGGGCTTAATTGCAAGATCCATATTTGTCTTTGTTTTACCATTTTAAACGTATTTTAAGTTTCTAACAAAAAAAACATCCAAATTGAGATAGGGTACGTGGGCGGGCTTTGTATTTTCGCTTTTTTCTTTAATATACGTAGTATTCTTTGAACACCCCGATACTCAAAAACATGATTTTAATTCCTTGTAAAGAAGTAAGTATTTTGCAGTTAAGCTCCGCCCCTTTCGTTCACTGCGAATAAAAAAATCATCACAATAGAGACAGGGAGGGTGGGCGGGCTTACGTTTTGCCTTTTTGTTTTAATATGTGTAGACTTCTTTCACAACAAGAAACTTAAAACATATTTAAAATGTATAATTTGTATAAGGAAACATCGATTTTTGCAATTAGGCTCCGCTCCATAATTGCAAAATCCATTTTTCCTTGGAAAAAATGTACCATTTTAAACTTGTTTTAAGTTTGTTGTTGTGAAAAGATGGCTATGTATATAAAGAAAAAAAGGCAAAATATAAGCCCCGCCCTGTCTCAATTCTGATTATTTTTTTATTCGTCGTAACCCGAGGGGCGGAGCTTAATTGTAAAATATTTATTTTTCTACGAAAAATTACCATATGAAATATATTCTTAAGTAATCGTGTTATACATACAAAGAAAACTAAATGTATAACAGTATAACCTCGATAATCCGAATTAATTGGGGAAAAGGTGTGTTTTGATCAGCGATTTTTTCGGATCAGTGAATTTCTAAAAATCTGAAAGGGAATTGAATAACCACTTCATACATTACTCACGACAAACTCCAAGAAATAAACCTTAATTTTATTAAACAAAAATAACCATTAAACCATACCACGTTATATTTTTGAAATCAGCACGTCGAGACCTATACCCCAGAATTTTTTGGGATTTTTAGATGACTTTTTCAAAAATGAAATGAAAAAATTTTGTGCAAATTTCGACCCATTTTCGACGATTTTCTAAATTTAGCTAAATACATTTTCTTTTAGATTTCTGCAACCGTTTTTCCATTGTCGTCCACTGAAATACCGCAGTTTTGAAAAATTTTGAAAAATTCTCATTTCACACCGAATTTTCCGAAAGTATTGCTCCGTTACCATAAACACGCTATATTTTTTGAATCAACGCGTCGGGATCTGTATCCCTGAATTTTTTCAGAATTTTTCACTGTAAATTTCTACCCATTTTCAACGGTTTTCGAACTTTCACCTAAATACATTTCTTGTAAATTTCGGACCACAAAAGTCACTTCCGGTCTCATGTCTCCAAAAACTCCAACCGTTTTTCTAGAAACGTCCATTGAAATATCGCAATTTTTCAAAATCTCAAAAGATTCAATACAACGCGTGCAGATCTTGCGTCATTTTTGCATGTCGGTGCATGTTTGCAAGTTCAGTTCGGATTGCGAAGTTTTTGTTCGGATAATCGTGGGTTCGGATTATAGAGGTCATACTGTAGTTAAAAAAGAAAACCAAATGAGAAGCTCCACCCATCCGTCTCGATCTCAATCGTGATGAATTTTTCATTCGTTGTCGGACCGAGGGGCGGAGCGTAATTACAAAATCGATATTTTAAAATTTACCATTTTAAACATGTTTTAAGTTTCTTGTTGTGAAGATGACTACACATATTAAGAAAAAAAAAGGCGAAATGTAAGCCTCGTCCACTTGCCCTATCAGCCTATCACAATTGTGAAGATTTGTTTATTCGTCGTGAACCAAGGGGGCGGAGCTAATCAAAATTTTGCTGATCATCCCCACCAACAATTTGATGACGTCATTTCAATGAACCATATTTTAACATGATTTTAATGTTACACAAAAATATATTTTTCTTGCATTTGTAATACGCTGTGACTAGTATTATCCTTGTTGATGACGTCATCATAAATCTTGTTGGTCACATTAGGAAGGAGTCACCCCATTTTCTCGAATATGTGAAGAATGATAAAATAAGAATTGAAATATTGAAAACTTTTTGTTCGATTGTTATTTTATTAACAAATTTTAGTCCATTTACATCACTGTTTTGTTTGTTTGTTTGTTGGTTTTTTTTTTTTTTAATGTATACATATATAAAGGTTATCAGAAAATAAACACTTTATAATTTTTCAAAGAAGCGGAATTTGTTGGACTGTACTGCAGGGGTGAGAAAAGTTCTGTCGAAGTAATCTTAGACCAATTTTTTTTCACTAAAAATGGACGACTAAATCAAAGCAGAACCATACTTGTTTTCTAGAAACGCGTATTTGAATATGAAAATTATCTTATTTTTGATAAGACTTAAGACTTTTATAAACTTTGAGGGAGATTGCTGAATAATTTAAGTACACGAACACTCCACCCAACCTAAAAATTTATCTGACAAGATGCCAAAAGAACTGACGTTCAGAAACTGCCATTTTGCTTGTGTTTCATTCTAAGAAAGCAAGTTAATAAAACGGATTCTGACGTGTTTTGTTGAACATTTGATGTTTAGATACCTCAAAAAGCACTGTTGACATTACGCACTATTTACCGTTCGTTTTACGCCACATTTTTCTAACTTACCGAAAAATAATCTAGAGATGGCAAAAAACAACGGAACATAGAGAATGCTGTCATCCCAGAGCACGATATTTTTGTCATCGCCTGTACCTTTCTCCAACTTAGTGAATGCCAGAAATATCCCGAAGTTCACTATTAGACAAGGAAGGAGGGCCTGAAAAAAGTCTCCAATTATCATGGTATTATTTATTCGATCGCACCAATACGCGATGATTCAGATTCTTATCTATTATCTTGTCTATGGAAAAATATAATCCTCCATGTAATTTACGCCACACCTGCTTGCATGTTGAATTTATGGCGAAATATCATCTTTACTCACCTGAAAGAAGAGGGTGGCTATGAAGACTATCCAGCCAAACCCTCCATCAGGTACACTAGGTCCTAGTTCTGGTTGTGTAGAAACCACATCATCAATAGACAAAACATGTAGATTTTCTCTTCGATTATCACCACGTCGGTTTTCATCGTTGTTGTTCATTGTTTATAGATAAATGACAAACATTGACATATCACTGAAAAAGACAGATTTGGGTTGGTGTGAACAGGTGCATCACGACACAAAAGGGTATCTATATCACTTTTAGAACAATCTTATGACCAAGTTTGTTATCTTATCGGTTATAATGCGTGCATTATGTATAGATAAGCTGTATGTTTTAGGAGTAAACAAATGGAATTATTGTGTTAATAATAGTTCGGTTTTCTGGTACTTCCTGGAAGTGACATACAGAACTTTTTTCCTTTACTTGCATGTAAAAGGTTGGTTAATTTGATTTTCTTTCATTTTCGGAGTGGAAGGTCTAATTCGGGTGACGGAAAATATATCTTTAAGTTAATTATTTGAAATCCACTTGTACCTTGACCCAATTTAAAAAATCAAGGATGTACGTTATAGGCAGTATATATCTGATAAATAAAGTTGAATTTTGTAAACGGGACAGCTTTAATTAAACAATTCGGTGACGAATTTTGTCTAAAACATAATTGAAATTCTGTGTATGGATGTATGACGTCATATGAATATTATAAACAATTCGTCACTAAAAAGTTGCTAGTTTTTTTCAAAAATTGTCTGTAACAAGCATGCTTCAGGGGCAGGGGAAGTTCTCCCTAAATAACTTTAACTTGTGAATAACGACTAATTCTTTGGCGGAGTCAAATTAATAACAACAATAGCTTTAGTAATTGTGTAATAATTTTTGATAAAATCAGAATCCACCCGTTTCCCATTTCAAACTTCGCGCCTCCACACATCCAATCATTCGGCAACCTTCGGCAACTTTCGCCCGACGCCGCCATCCGCCATTATTGTTTTGCACGCAAACAAGTCAAAACCAGTACGCCTCACAACAACACCAGCGGGAGCTTCCCAGGTTAATTTCCCGATTATAATTCGCCCCATCGACATTTTCCCACCCTCCACGCAACCACCATTTTTCCCTCCCAAAAAAAAAACACCTGCGCCACATTCAAATTTGAATCCACTCAACAACAAAATGGCGATGTTGTGAAACTTTTTTCGTGTTTGCAGAAGAATGGAACCGCGTGGTAGAGGACGGGCCTACGGCCGGGCGCGTGGACAGGCCGGCGGCGCCCCGCAGCAGCAGCACCAACGACCGGGCCCCCCGCAACCCAGGCCTCAGCAGCCGCGGCCGCAGCAACCACCGGGCGATCACGGCGCACGTGGTCCTTCGCAAGCCGGCGCACGTGGTCCTCCGCAAGGCGCGTGGGGCGTGCGCCCCCCGCAGCCTGCGGTCGCTGCATGGCCCCGACCCCAGATGGGGGGCCCCTCGCATCAGCAGCCACCGCAGCCCGCAGCCGGCCGCGGCGGTAGACAAGGGGAAGCAGAAGGAGCCATTCCTCGAAAAGGTAAGCTGTTTTCTTGGTAAAAAGTCGCGGGTTGATTTGGTGTTTGTAGTCGTTGGAGAGGGAGAAGGCGCCGGGAATAACGACGGTCGTGGCGGCAGCAGCGTCCGGGGACGTGTGACGAACCGCAGAGAAATTCTCTACACCAGGCCGGACACAGTCACCGACAACAAAAAAGGTAGTTTTGAGTTTTGGTTGCGCTTGGTTGGTAATTTTTTTGTTTAGGAACGAGCGGAAACTCGATCAATTTATTGTCGAATTATTTCCCGCTTCTTCAGAAGGGTACGTGGTGCTTGTACCAATATAGAGTTGATATGGCGCCAGATATTGATCACACCGGAAAGAGAAAAGGTTTGGTGCGAGAAGCTACAAGGGAATTGTTAAGAGGGGGCTACATATTTGACGGGACCGTTTTGTACACCCCACAAAGAATACACAACGACTCCGTGGAGCTTTTCGCCAATGACGGTATTTCTTTTTATTTGTTTAGTGTTTCCGTACTTATTTAAACTGTACAGGTCAAGAAAACATACGAATTACGATTAGATTGGTGGGTGACTTGGCGCGTGGTGATATTCATTACCTCCAAGTGTTCAACATCATCATCCGAAAGTGTTTGGCTTTGATGGGTTTGCAGTTGATAGGGCGCAATTATTTTATGCCCGATGCTAAGGTAATATTCAAATCAGAGTAGTTAATCATGACACTAAATAACCACGTTATTGTAGATTGTACTCTCTGAACACAAAATCCAACTGTGGCCAGGGTACTTCACGTCGATGAGACAGCACGAATCCGACATCCTCTTGAATGTGGATCTCCAATTTAAGCACATGCGCACTGACAACGTGTACGACTTACTGTTGGAGTGCCAAGGTCCCAATGCCCGTCGGGAGTTCACCAGTAGAATCATCGGTGGTGTAGTTCTCACCTATTACAACAATAAAACGTACAAAATCGACGATGTCGATTTTCAGTCCACACCCGCTAGCACATTCAAGATGAAGGACGGTACAGAAATAACCTACAAAGATTATTTCGACAGGGTATTTACAATACATAGAAAACGCCCAAACGCTTTTCTATTTTTCGTTTTTTCTTTTTTAGAAATACAGCGTCCAGATCCGCGTAAGAGATCAGCCGTTGTTGGTTTCTCGCAGTAAACCGAGAGAAATCAGAGCCGGGATGGCCGAAACTATATATTTGGTTCCTGAACTTTGCCAGATGACTGGCCTGACTGACAAACAGCGAGAGAATTTCAATTTGATGAAGACTCTCTCGAATCACACGCGCATCGGCGTGGAATCGCGTATTAGGAAGCTGCTCGATTTTTCGAGAAAGATACACAGTAAGCCCGAGGTCGTGCAGGAGATCCGTAGGTGGGACCTCAACATCGGCGAAAACCTCGTCAGGTTCCAGGGAAGGGTTTTGTCTCCGGAAGGTTTGGTCGGCGGAGGAGACAGCCGCTATTCGGGCGGAAGTCAAGCCGATTGGACCAGGGAATTGAGGTCTAAACCGATGCTGCATTCCCCGAAAATGGAGCGTCTGGCGGTTCTGTGCCCGTCCAAGTTCAAGTAAGTTTGGGGTTATTGCATTTTTTTTGAGTGGTTTTTGAACTCGGCGACGCGTCGTCAAGAAATAGAAGTTTCATAGCGAGCATTAAAGTTGTTTCTGGATGGATATTATCGCGGAAAAATTATTTAACTATAAGTTCTCTAGAATCTTGCAAAAAAGACTCCCCGCAACAAGACAGACCAAATTCTTTCAAAATCAAAACACAAGGATACTTAAGGTTTACATATTAAAAAAATTGGTCGAAACTCAGTTTTTTGAGCCACCTGTTTAAGCATTTAAAAAATATGGAATTAATGATAAATCGCACGTACCAACTCATTGTATTTTGCACATTTTGGGTAGAATTTATTCGGCATCAATTTTTGGCGGAATAAACATATTTTGATTAAAAAGTTACCATACCTACAACAACTTCAAAACGTCTGCAAGAGTTCAAAGTATTCAGTTTTGCAATTGTTGATTTAATCAATAAAATTAATTCAGTAATAGATTTTTTTGAGACACCCTGTATAAGCAAATCTAAAAAATATTAATGCGGTGATTAATCACAATTATCGACTCATCATATTTTGCACATTTAAGATAGGACGTGTTCAGCAAAATTTTGAAGTGACGTCATCAATTTTTTAAGGGGGATGGGCAAATACATTTTGTTCAAAAATTTATCATACTTATGATAATTTGACAATATCTGCAAAATTTCAAAGCATTCGGTTTTGCAGTTCCTTATTAAATAAATAAAATAAATTCACGCATTCATTAATTTTTTCGAGTCACTATAAGCAAATCCAAAAAATATGAATGGAATGAAATTTAGGAAAAAATGAAACGGAATTCCCATCCACCCATTCTGGCATTTTTTTCTTCTGAAATAAGAAATAAATCTTATAGCGAATAGCACAACAACAAAAAATACGGTTGGTGCTTTTTTTCACTTTTTTGACAGCTTAGGTTCTCTTGGTTACCATTCTCACTCTACAGAACATATGATTTAACCCCGCCCACCCACCCTGCCTCCATTTCGGTGATATTTTATCTGCTCTGAATGAAAGGTGCATCTTATACTGATTTGAAATAAAATTTGTTGTTACAAAGAGAAGAGGGCGGGTGGGCGGGCCTAGTTCTTGCTAAAATAAGACTGATTTTGGCAAACCCCCCTATATGACATATTTTTCAAGAAAATATAGGTGTTTATTTGAAAAACACTGTACATAAATTGTTTAATTTGTTACACGTGCATTAATAATAATACCATTTATTGTAACCAACAGACACTAAGTCCAATTACAGGATACAATATGAAACAAACCACTTTCTTACATATAATTAGGAAACAAAAAATTAAATTAAGTAAAAATTTTTAATTTAAATTAAAGAGTTTCTTGCATTCCCTAGCATTTGCCTTAATGCAAGGTGACTTAAAAATTGTGTGTCAAATTGCAAATCTTCCATTTTTCAAAATGCCGGAACTGAAAACAAATATCTAGAAAATGGTTAATCGACGATTTAACTGGCGTTTTTTTTTCTGAAATATGAAATAAATTTTACAGCAAATAAGTAGTACAACAAAAAAAATACGATTGGTGCCTTTTTTCACTTTTTACAGCTTCGGTTCTATTAGTTTCCACTCTATATTCTCTAAAAAAATAGAAGTGTTTCATTTGAAAAACACCCTGTATACATAAATTGTTTAATTTGTTACACGTGCATGAGCAAGATTAAAAAATTGTGTAAATAATTGCAATCCTCCATTTTTCAAAATGCCGGAACTGAAAACATATCTAGAAAACTGCTAATAAAAAAGTGTTTGTTTTTATTCCTATGATGCTCAAATCATTGGTAATATAGACATACGACAAATATTTTTAAATAATTTTTACATGCATCTGACAGAAGGGCATCAATCGATTGTATAATAACGACAAGAATTTGTATTGGTCGGGAATAAGGAAATTTGTAGGAAATTTTCTACAAAAGTGTGACAAATAACGATTTAAATATTCAAAACCAAACATTCAACAGAGAAAAATGTGTTCACACGTTTTAAGTGAATTAAAAAAACACAACATCCAGATGAAGTAAGAAAATTAAATTTAAAACGTAGGAAAAAGTTAAACATAGTAATTCCCACCCACCCATTCTCTTATTTTTTCTTCTGAAATAAGAAATAAATCTTGTAGCAAATAGTACAACAAAAAAAAAAGATTGGTGGTTTTTTTTTTACTTTTTTTACATCCTAGGTTCTATTAGTTCCCACTCCCACTACAGAGGAACATATAATTTACCTCGCCCACCCACCCACCCCTCCTCCCATTTCGGTGATAAATTTCATCTGCTCTGAATAAAAGGTGCACCTTATACTGACTAGAAATAAAATTTGTCGTTACAATGAGAAGAGGGCGGGTGGGCGGGCCTAGATTTTGGGAAATCCTTAAATGACATCCTTCAAAAAAGTGTTTCATGTGAAAAACACTCTGTATACATAAATTGCTTCATTTGTTACACGTACAGTAAGAGAAGTCGTCACTCAAAACGTAGCGACTGGGTGACTAAAAATTGTGTGCAAAATTGCAAACCTCCATTTTTCAAAATGGCGAAACTAAAAACATACCTAGAAAACCGTTTATCAAAAAAAAAAAAAATTTTTTTTTCGTATGATATTCAAATTATCGGTAATCTAGAGATACGACAAATATTTTTAAATAATTTTTACGTTCTTCCGACAGGAGGGCATCCAGGCATAAAATCAATGTATAATGACGTCAAGAAATATTTTTACCCAATACAATTCTGGCATTGTTTTCTTCTGAAATAAGAAAATAATAGTACAACAAACAAAATTACGAATGCCGTTTTTGTTTTTCACTTTTTTTATAGCCTAGGTCTTCTTAGTTCCCACTTCTTTACAAAGGAACATATAATTAAACCCGCCCACCCACCCTGTCTCCGTTTCGGTGATGAATTTTATCTGCTCTGAATGAAAGGTACATCTTATACTGACTAGAAATAAAATTTGTCGTTACAAAGAGAAGAGGGCGGGTGGGCGGGCCTAGTCTTTGCTAAATAAAGACTGATTTTGGCAAATCCTTAAATGTCATTCTCTCAAAAAAATTTATGAAAAACAGCCTGTATACATAAATTGTTTAATTTGTTATACGTGCATTAAGTCTGCCTACAGACTCGCTTACAATACTTCCATCGCTTACGTTCGGGAAAGAAAAAAGCGTAACAATTATAACCCCATTATTTTCCGATTTCTTGCAGGAACCCAGCCCAGGACTTCCTCCAGCTCCTGGCCAAAGCCGCCGGCGGCATGCGCTGGTCGATCGGAAGTCCAAAGATCTTCGAAATTCCGGACGAACGCGCAGGCAGTTACGTCGATAAGGCCGAAGAGATCATCAATAAGTCCCAACCGACCCTAATCTTGACCGTTCTGCCGAACAATTCGAACGATAGGTACGGCGCAGTCAAGAAGAAGTGCTACGTCGACAGAGGTGTGCCTACCCAGATGTTCGTTGCGCGAAACTTCACGAACAAGGGCCTAATGAGCATCGCCACGAAGGTGGCCATTCAGATGAACTGCAAAATCGGGGGCGCGCCCTGGTCGGTAATGATCCCGTTGACCCACCTGATGGTTGTGGGATACGACGTCTGCCGCGACACTGCCAATAAGAAGAAGAGTTTTTCGGGGATGGTGGCGTCCCTCGACCGCCAGATGACGCGGTATTACAGTATTACTTCCGAGCATAAAATGGAAGAAGAGTTGAGTGACAATTTCGCGACCTTCATGGTTATGGCGTGCCATAAGTTCAAACAAGTTCAGGGGGTTTATCCTGATCGTATTTTGATATATAGAGACGGCGTGGGTGCCGGGCAGCTTCCTTACGTTTTGAACCATGAAGTGGACAATATCAAGCGGAAGCTCAAACAAGATATTTATAAGAACACCGAGTTGAAGATGGCGTTTATTGTAGTTTCCAAGAGAATCAACACCAGGATTTTCACAGAGAAGGATAACCCGCCACCAGGCACAGTCGTCGACGATGTTATCACCCTTCCTGAGAGGTACTTAACAATTAATTTTATGTTCACGAATATATTTTTTTTAATTGCAGATATGACTTCTACATCGTTTCCCAGTGCGTCCGACAGGGAACGGTCGCCCCTACTAATTACAACGTCATTGAAGATACGCTTGGACTGAGTCCGGACCGGATGCAGATGCTGACTTACAAATTGACTCACATGTACTACAATTGGAGTGGTACCGTACGAGTCCCCGCCCCTTGCCAGTATGCTCACAAGTTGGCTTTCATGGTGTCGCAACACCTACATCGTCCGGCTCACCGTGACCTCGAAGACATTCTGTATTACCTATAATTTTTAAAGTTAAGTTGTGATGTTGAGGTTACACCAGATACCTCCGAATTTCGAGTTACTTTTCTTTTTCTTTTGTTTTCATTTAGTTGTAAGAGATAAAATCAATTCCGACGAATGATTGATTTCGTCATCTATGAGATTTTTCGTTTCGGATTTTATTGAAGTGAATATTATTACCATTGATTTCTGTTAGAATAGAAGTTCGTTATGTTCTCAATGATGAGAATTTACTCTAGACGTTTTGTTATATTTTTATATAACGTATAAAAAGTTTTATATTAAAGTAAGTGTTTTATTCTATTTTCCAGTCAAGCAGTTTGAAGAATTCGGACTCCGCGAGTTCTAGGACTTTGCAGGATTCGACGTGGGCCTGAAAGATACCACTGATTTATGCGTAATTGTTTCAGGAGTTATACCTTTTGTCTTTTGAGGTTATCAATCAACTGGATTTGTTTTTTGTAGCCTTGGAGTAATTCGTTCTTGTGTTTCTGGATTTGTTTGACAGTGGTGTTCAGGTCCTTCAGGTTTTTCCGGTATTCGTCTTTGGATTCCTGAAAAACTAATTTTAAAAAACGTTTTTTATTTATTCAGATTACTTTTTCTTCCTGTCGCAAGTTTTTCAGTGAAATTTTCTGTTTCTCGACGTCTTGCAGGGCTCGTTTTAACCGACTTTCAGAAGCACTGAGCTCGCTGCAAGTGTTTTTCAGCTCAGTTTTCAATTGTTCAAGTTCTTTTTTCAAAGAGATGTTCTCACTTTCTTTTAACTGTAGTCGTGAATTGGAAGCTATAATCTGAGCACAATTATGGTCAGCCAGTAGGCATAATTAACCAACCCCAAGTTACCTGTTTTTCCAGTTTTGTGCTGGTGTTTTTTTCGACGTTGTATTGCAAAAACCACTTCTCTTTTTCTTCAGATAACGTCTGGTGGCTCTTCTGGATCTTCTTCAGTTCTTCATTCTACACAAAAACAGGTTTATTTTGAATTTGTTACCACAGTACAAACCTTATTTTTCAGTTCATTTTGAGTTTTTTCCAAATCTTCCATGAGTGCCTTAATTTTCGATTTGTAAAAGTGTAGCATGCCTTTTGTCCCCATTTCGTCTACACTCTTGGGCAAATTCAAATCTTTTGCTTCAAGTCGACGCATTTCAGGTTTGAAGTCTCGAAGCTGTAAATCTTGCATCTTTTTCATGTCGTCTACTTTTTGCAGCAGTTCTTTTGTTTTAAGCTCTAGAAGCTTATTTTCTTTTCGAAATTCTTCCTCTTTTTTCAGAAAATCTTGCTCCATTTCGTGGTTTGAATGACTCATTGATAGTCAACTATCACCATGGTGATACCTAATGGGCGCGCAAGTACAGCAACATCAAAATAAATTGAACCATTACATATAACACGACTTTATTATGATTATCACAAAAATTATACTTAATACACAGCAATAAGTAATATCAAACTCACAAGAATAATATAAATTTTGATAAAACACAAAACTAATTCTGAACTTCAATAATATATTCGATGTAATAGTCACATGACGTACTTGGGCTCAAATCAGCTTTATTTGGTTCCGTGGTTAGAACTTTAACCACTACAATCAATTTATCTGAACTGAAGTAGTCAATTCTGTTTGAAAACGTTAACTTCTGGCCCATTCCAATCCGGCGAGGATCTGCATTATATTTAATAACTTCGTCTAAAAACGACCGACTTACTTGAAAATACCGACGCACCTACAACAACTTCCTAAATACTGATAACAAGGCAGCAAAACTTACGTACTCTGTATAACTGGTCATCTTCAGAATTAATGAGCAGTTGCTCTCGTATTAAAAATTGCCCAAACGAATGCAAATCTTGCACTCGTATTATTCGTCTAGCTGTAAGACTTTCATGGTTTGGGGTAGCACTCCTAACTTCGAACATGACTTGCCTATATTCTTCAGTATACATAGACACGTCACTTTGATTCCCTTGGTAGAGCACCCAAGTATTGGGGGCGAACTGCCGCACAATATCCATCATCTCGGATTCAAAATGTGACTTTTTACACTAAAACTGGTATTTCGTAACACACTGTGAACGACGGAGTATTGAGTACTTACGGTTTTGTAAAGATAATCGTAGCTAGGGACTTCCCCTACTGCGTTGCGTGTGCCAAGTTAGGGATTTTTCGTTTACGTGTCGCCACCAGCTGACGGAATTTAGTTACTTCGAACTTAAGTGCAGTTCTCACTTAGGCGACAAAAACGCAGGTGATAGTAATTGCAGAGTTATCAGTTTTGCTGTATACTTAAGGTAATTATGACTGCTCACTACAGTAACTGTGTGTTCACTGCATTACCAGGAAGCTGCTATCTAAACTTAAATGCAATTTGAGCATTAATGACGTTCTATGCGCCTGCAGTTGTAAACAGTGAACGCTGCACTTTGATTATTATAGAAATATGGCCTTGACGAGACAATGGGCGGTATCGATTACACTATAAGACAAATATGCGATAAATGTGAGTGATCATGTTGTACTCCGGTTTTTTATTTTTTCGGTGTGATTGTGGTGCAGTGAGAAAAATTCCGCGTGACGTAGTGATTTTTGCAATTTAATTTTGAAACTGCAAAACCCAATGCAAAAAAAAATTGCAAACGTTCTAAAAGCTCTTTCTTTAAAGTTTAGTTTCAGAAATATTCAAGAAATTGTTCTAGCGAAATTGTTTGGGATCATTTACCATTTAGAATACTAATTTTGTAGATTTTCGGAAACTCACCCTTAGATACGAGTGCAGTGAACACATCCAGGTCTTCTTATCATTAGTAATCACAGTTGTTTTCGACTTATATTTTTCTACGCGATAAATAAATTTTTATTTCCTGAGCGTAAGCAAAGCCGACTCTCTACTTTTACGTTTTCTCGACCTTTCATGACTCCTAGAGTACGAAGAAATCGATCTCTCGTTTCCGTCAGTCTGTCCGTCTGTCTGCCGTTCCGGATTTTACCTAGACAGATAATCTCCGAAAGTACTGGACCGATTGTTGTCAAATTTTGTATTTATCTTAGGAATATCATGTAGACGATAAAACGCTAACCAAAATTTGTCTAATCATCCCCTCCAAGAAATTGATGACGTCAGCTCAAAATTTTGCTGAATAAATTCCAAATAAAATGGGCAAAAGATGATGAGTTTTTACTTGTGATTTATCATTCCATTACTATTTTTTGGATTAGCGTTGTAGCGGCACAATAACACATGGGTAAGCAGAGCAAAGATAAGTTGTCTTGTGGTGTAGCGGTCAGCATACCAGCCCGGAATGCTTGGAGACGTGGGTTCGAATCCCACCGAGGCACAACATTTTTCTCTGCTTACCTATAGCGTGAATTTATTTTATTGATTTAATCAGCAACTGCAAAATTTTGCTTTCAAATCTTGGACATGTTTTAAAGTTATCATAAGCATGGTAAGTTTTAGATCAAAATGTATTTGTTCATCCACCCCAAAAAATTGATGACGTCATCTCAAAATATTGTTGAATATGTCCTATCTTAAATGTGCAAAATATGATGAGTCTATACTTGTGATTTATTTTTAACACATATTTAATATTTTTTAAATTTGCTTATACAGGTGTCTCAGAAAAAAACCAATGACTGATGAGTTGTTAAAAAATAAATATCCAATCAGATTTAGGAATTTAACTCGTTACTATGGAAATATGCAATTTAACACCTTTTAAATTCAACAAGTTGTTACAAGTTTAATAGGGACAAAATCATTCTTATCATCTTAGCAAGTGGTAGCCCCGCCCACCCACCCCCTATTTTCTCAGAGGCTTATTTTAGCAAGTACTACCCTTTGAGAAAATAAAAGGCGGGTGGACGGGACTAGTACTTGCTAACATAAGTCTTATTTTGGCAAATAACATATCGTCTGAGAAAATAGGGGGCGGGTGGGCGGGGTTAGTACTTGCTAGGATAAGACTTATTTTGGCAAATGTCATATTCCCTGGGAAAATAGCGGGTGGGTGGGCGGGCCTAGTATTTGTTAAGATAAAACTGATTTTCCCCCTATTAATATTGTAAAAACTTGAAATTTAAAGGTGGTAAACTGCAAATTTCCCGTATCTTTTCACTTTTAAACTTTCATCATTCGCTAAAATTTACTTTTTGTTGCTTCTTTTTTCACGAAAATTTTATTTTTGACTCGACTATGATTTTTATTATGAGAATTTTAAAATCTTCACTGCCAGTTATGTTTCAGATATATTTAACTAAATATATTCGTTTAGTTTTCAAAGCATAAGAAATATTTCCAATATTTTGAACATTTTGGATTTTGACTATCGTTACTGAATTTTCTTAAGATTTTCACTTCATTTTTCTGATTAATTCAACATTCTCCCTTTATTCTACAAAACACTAAATGTATCTTTTCACTTTTAAATTTTCCTCAATCGCTAAAATTTGAAAGGTCGCATGATTAGTGAGCACAGCATTAATCGAACAGTTTCTTTTAAATCAAAGAAATTTTGCGTTCTGTTGCTTCTTTTTTTACGAAAATTTTATTTTTGACTCGACTATGATTTTTTCATGTTCCTGCACTCTGAAAATTAATCTATTATGAGAATTTTAAAATCTTCACTGCCAGTTATGTTTCAGATATCTTTTAACTAAATATATCCATTTAGTTTTCAAAGCATAAAAAATATCTCCAATATTTTGAACATTTTGGATTTTGACTATCGTTACTGAATTTTTTTAAGATTTTCACTTCATTTTTCTGATTAATTCAACATTCTCCTTTTATTCTACAAAACACTAAATGTATCTTTTCACTTTTAAATTTTCATCATTCGCTAAAATTTGAAAGGTTGCATGATTAGTGAGCACAGCATTAATCGAACAGTCTCTTTTAAATCAAAGAAAATTTACTTTCTGTTGCTTCTTTTTTCACGAAAATTTTATTTTTGACTCGACTATGATTTTTTCATGTTCCTGCACTCTGAAGATTAATGTATTATGATAATTTTAAAATCTTCACTGCCAGTTATGTTTCAGATATATTTTAACTAAATAAATCATTTAGTTTTCAAAGCATAAGAAATATTTACAATATTTTGAACATTTTGGATTTTGACTATCATTACTGAATTTTTTTAAAATTTTCGCTTCATTTTTCTGATTAATTCAACATTCTCCCTTTATTCTACAAAACACTAAATGTATCTTTTCACTTTTAAATTTTCATCATTCGCTAAAATTTGAAAGGTCGCATGATTAGTGAGCACAGCATTAATCGAACAGTCTCTTTTAAATCAAAGAAAATTTACTTTCTGTTGCTTCTTTTTTCACGAAAATTTTATTTTTGACTCGACTATGATTTTTTCATGTTCCTGCACTCTGAAGATTAATGTATTATGAGAATTTTAAAATCTTCACTGCCCGTTATGTTTCAGATATATTTTAACTAAATATATTCATTTAGTTTTCAAAGCATAAGAAATATCTCCAATATTTTGAACATTTTGGATTTTGACTATCGTTACTGAATTTTCTTAAGATTTTCACTTCATTTTTCTGATTAATTCAACATTCTCCCTTTATTCTACAAAACACTAAATGTATCTTTCCACTTTTAAATTTTCATCATTCGCTAAAATTTGAAAGGTCGCATGATTAGTGAGCACAGCATTAATCGAACAGTCTCTTTTAAATCAAAGAAAATTTACTTTCTGTTGCTTCTTTTTTCACGAAAATTTTATTTTTGACTCGACTATGATTTTTTCATGTTCCTGCACTCTGAAAATGAATGTATTATGGGTATTTTAAAAACTCCACTGCCAATTATGTTTTAGAAATATTTTAACTAAATACATTCATTTAGTTTTCAAAGCATAAGAAATATCTCCAATATTTTGAACATTTTGGATTTTGACTATCATTAGTGAATTTTCTTAAGATTTTCACTTCATTCTTCTGATTAATTCAACATTCTCCCTTTATTCTACAAAACACTAAATGTATCTTTTCACTTTTAAATTTTCATCATTCGCTAAAATTTGAAAGTCGCATGATTAGTGAGCACAGCATTAATCGAACAGTCTCTTTTAAATCAAAGAAAATTCACTTTTTGTTGCTTCTTTTTTCACGAAAATTTTATTTTTCACTCAACTATGATTTTTTCATGTTCCTGCACTCCGAAGATTAATGTATTCAGAATTTTAAAATCTTCACTGCCAGTTCTGTTTCTGATATATTTTAACTAAATATATTCATTTAGTTTTCAAAGCATAAGAAATATTTCCAATATTTTCAACATTTTGGATTTTGACTTTCGTTACTGAATTTTCTTAAGATTTTCACTTCATTTTTCTGATTAATTCAACATTCTATCCCTTTATTCTACAACACTAGCAAAAAGTATCTTTTCACTTTTAAATCTTCATCATTCGCTAAAATTTGAAAGGTCGCATGATTGTGAGCACAGCATTAATCGAACAGTCTCTTTGAAATCAAAGAAAATTTGCTTTTTGTTGCTTCTTTTTTCACGAAAATTTTATTTTTGACTCGACTATGATTTTTTCATGTTCCTGCACTCTGGAAATTAATGTATTATGGGTGTTTTAAAAACTCCACTGCTAATTATGTTTCAGATATATTTTAACTAAATATATTCGTTTAGTTTTCAAAACATAAGAAATATTTTAAGTATTTTGAATATTTTGGATTTTGAAATTCGTTATTGAATTTTCTTAAGATTTTCACTTCATTTTTCTGGTTATTTCAACATTCTCCCTTTATTCTACAAAACACTAAATGTATCTTTTCACTTTAAAATTTTCATCATTCGCTAAAATTTAAAAGGTCGCATGATTAGTGAGCACAGCATTAATCGAACAGTCTCTTTTAAATCAAAGAAAATTTACTTTTTTCACGAAAATTTTATTTTTGACTCAACTATGATTTTTTCATGTTCCTGTGCTCTGAAAATTAATGTATTATGGGTATTTTAAAAACTCCACTGCCAATTATGTTTCAGATATATGTATTTTAATTAAATATATTCGTTTGATTTTCAAAACATAAGAAATATTTACAATATTTTGAACATTTTGGGTTTTGAGTTTGAATTTTCTTAAAATTTTCGTTTTATTTTTCTGATTAATATCACTGCATTCATATTTTTTTAATTTGCTTAAACAGATTGACTCAAAAAAATTAAAGAATGCGTGAATTTATTTTATTGATTTAATCAGGAACTGCAAAACCGAATCCTTTGAAATCTTGGAGATGTTTTGAAGTTATCATAAGCATTGTAAATTTTTAATCAAATTGTATTTGCTCATCCCCCCTAAAAAAGTGATGACGTCACCTCAAAATATTGCTGAATATATCTTAAATGTGTAAAATATGATGAGTGATTTATTTTTAATATATAATGAATATTTTTTAAATTTGCTTATACAGGGTGTCTCAGAAAAATTAATAACCGAGTTATTAAAGAATAAATAGCGAATCAAATTTAGGAATTTAACTCGTTACTTTGGAAATATGCAATTAAACACCTTTTAAATTTAACAAGTTTTCACAAGTTAAATAGGGGCAAAACTAGTCGTATCTTAGCAAGTGCTAGCCCCGCCCACCCGCCCCCTATTTTCTCAGAGTTTATGTCATTTGCCAAAATAAGACTTATGTTAGCAACTATTAGCCCCGCCCACCCGCCCTCTATTTTCTCAGGAGTATGGCATTTGCCAAAATCAGTCTTATCGTAGCAAGTATTATCCCCGCCCGCCCACCCCTATTTTCTCAGAGGATATGTTATTTGCCAAAATAAGACTTATCTTAGCAAGTACTAGCAAGTACTACCCTCTGAGAAACTAAAGGGCAGATGGGCGGGGCTAGTACTTGCTAACATAAGTCCTATTTTGGCAAATGACATACCGTCTGAGAAAATAGGGGGCGGGTGGGCGGGGCTAGTACTTGGTAAGAAAAGACGTATTTCGGCAAATGACATATCGTCTGGGAAAATAGGGGTGGCACAAAAAAATTAATGAATGTGTCAATTTATTTTATTGATTAAATTAGGAACGGCTCACTCCATTTTCCCAGATTTTTTTTTTATTTTTAGTATTATACTGCACCAATCCAAGTTGATATTAGTGTCCTTGCAAAAATATTGATGACGTCATCACAAAATTCTGTAAAATAAAAATTCAACTCTAAAGTGCTGGATATATTTCATTGTAGAGACCAAAAACTATAAGGTTATATGGCCATTATAAAATCATCCCATTCTCTCGAAGTTAAATTTAAATTATATATTACTGAAATGACATTAAACCCGACTTAAAGAAATGAATACGACTCCAAGTGCAATGGAAGAAGTGTCAGTTTTTAAAATTATTTAGAAGTGTTATTTTCCTCAAAATTTTTACTAAAGGATGTTTCAATGTTTCAACAGAGTTTTGGTATTCCACGTTCTAACTAACTTGCACATTTTTCTTGTTTAATCTTTTTATTGGCGCCGCGATGTTAGCAAAATTTTCTAAAGTTTCTTCTTTTCTTCGTTCCCTATTTTTCTCAAAACAATACCATAATGCTTCAAACATATTTCACTTCGTAATTTCTTGTACAGAAATATGGATTTTGCGGTTAAGCTCCACCCCTCGGTCTCACGACGAATAAAATAAATCATCACAATTGAGATAGGGTGGGTGGGTGGGGCTTATCCATTTCAATAATAAAATACTTAAAATATCAAATGGTGAATTCGGGGTTAGGTTAGAATTATGCTTTAAGTATTACGTTGTTGAAAGTAAACTCTATAGATTAAGAAAAAGAAGCCAGTGATTAAGCCCCACCCACCCGCCCCTATCTCAATTGTGATGAATTTTTCATTTATTGTCATTTCGAAGGACAGAGCTTAATTCACATTTCTTTAGAAAAATTTACCATTTTCTAGGAAAACGAGTCCAAAGCGTAATTTAGCAGCAAACCTCGTTTATTTTTTTCGGACGTCTGGGACTAGGCGAAAAATTTTATTAAAAAAATCGATTACATTCATACATATACCAGTGATACAGGGACATTTTTAACTCTGAACATACGAAAGTAAGTATGGAGTTTAGTTTTCTCTACAGACTCTAATAAGCAAGCAATAGCCCCGCCCACCCGCCCTCTATTTTCTTACAGGATATGTCACTTGCCAAAATTATTCTTGTCTTGTCAGGAACTAGCCCCGCCCACCCACCCTCTACTATTCTTGGAGCATATCTCACTTGCCAAAATCAGTTTTGTCGTAGCAGATTCTAGCCCCGCCCACCCGCCCTGTTCTCATTCTAAAGATTTTATTTTTGTTCAGTACAAGATCCGCCTTTCATTGTGACCAGATAAAATGAATGACTGGACTGGAGTTGGGGTGGGTGGGCGGGGTTAATTATATGATCTTCTGTAGAATGGGAATGGAAACTAATAGAAAAAAAGCACGAATCGTAATTTTTTTATCCTAATTGCAGATATTTATTTCTTATTTCAGAAGAAAATAATGTGAGTGTGTTTTAGTTTATCTTTCCAAAAAGCTGATGACGTCGTCTCGCAATATCGGGCGAATTAATTATTGATTTTTTTTATCAGGTTGGCAACATATTTAAATTTGATGAAATATCTCTTATCAAAATGAAAAAAGTCACTTTCTCATCACGTTTGTCAGGCGCGGTCCTGTCAAAGTTGACAATTGTGAACCCATCATTTTTTTACCGTTTGAACGTGGTTTATACGTAGGAAAATGAAATTCATCGTCTTAATTTACGTTTATTTAAAAAATGTTCAATTAATCCAAAATTACAGTATGGACCAGACTAGAAATTGAATGCCCATTTTCTACCAGTTCCTAACCTAAAAATCAGATCTTGCTATGTTTTAAAATGTACTCCGGAATTAGCACGGACTTAAAATTAAGCGACATTGTTCCCACTATCACCTACAAAAGTACGTCAGCTACCTCCATCCATTCCACCAATTTATACTTACAATATTTTTTACAACTTCCATGGATAGGATTACACCACCAGGACCTTCAATCGATCCCACATATTTATGGGTCTTGATATCATACACATACACATTTCCATTATAGCAGCTAGCGAAAAGTAAATCTCCGGAAACTCGCAAACAACTTATTCCTTTAGAGTTTGAAACTTGGTATTTACGGACCAAATTACCGTCCTAAAACAACTATTTACACACGTTATATAAAAATAGTCAAACTTACGTGAAAACTATACACTAAAATATCGTGTGCTGTTGTTCCACAGTACACCATACTGTTTTCTAAGATCAAACTATACACAGTGGGCGTTACCGACTCCGTCATTGTTCTTAATCTTAAGCCTGACATTGCGTCCCTGACAAACACGGGTGCGTTCCTCATACCTACTAACAAGACTCGTCTGGCGCCCTCTTGTGCCGCTTTTAAAACCATGACGTTGTCGTCTGATATCTTGTCTTTAAATTCGACTTTACATTGCTTGAAAGTAAGTGTTACTCATGGAGGTTACAATTTGTTGTTAGTACCTTTAAAGAATAACGTATGAGATTCCCTGCTGTGGTTCCAATGAAGATATAGAACCAAGCCACCTCCATACACTGAATGATATCTTTAATGTTGGTTACGCGAATCAGTTCTCGTGTATCATAGTTATATTCGTGTAATTTATTATTCGCAGTTCCAATCAGTAGCAATAGTTTCCCTTTTGACGTCACCCAGTGGCACAAAGACACTATAGGGAGTTCAGATACGTGGATGTTAGTGACAACAGTGCCATCTAGCGCATTTATGTAGAAAACGTTTCCCTTCTCTGATGCCGCTAGAACAATGTTCTCAATTACCTGTAAGACGAATTATTACTAATTTTGTAAAAAATTGAAAGATGTATGTTACTTTTATTACAAGAATTTTTTCGGAAATGGATTCAAATTTTAAAGGTTTCTCGTAATAGATCAACTTTTCTTTTGTTAAATTAGTGTCGTTTGTAACTTCAGCTGAATTATTTTTGGTTTCAGTGGTGGTTTTTTGTGTTTCGTGATTAGCAGTTGCTCGAGTAACCATTTTATGTTGTTTGGAAGATTTTTCATTTTTAGTAATTTCTGTACGCTTTGTTGGACTTTTTCCTTTACTTTTCGTTTTGATTGTTACTTTTTCGTTTTTACTATTTTCTTTTTTCTGAATTTTGGCAAATATAGACTGTCTCATTATAGTTAGGCGCGTTATCTCCTTGTCAATTTCTAGCATTGCACTAATGGCATCATCTAAACTGTTTATTTTGTCTTTGTCAATATCAAATTTGTTGGTTTTATTAACTAAAGGGCAATCAGTCTGTGTACTTACAGATTTTAATTCATTAGAGTCTGTCTGAACACTGGCTGTAATAAATGTATTAGCGTCTATATTTTCCGATTTTATCCAAATGTTGGTAAAATGATTTTCTGGAATTTGATTTGGACCATCTATCTCAGGAAAGTGACTTTGTTGGATTTGACTTGGGTCATCCATATCTGCGCAGTTATTTTCCTGGGTTTGACTTAAACCATCTAGTGAACTCAAACTGGTGGAATTAAAACCCGAATTTTCCATTGGAAAATCAACTTCATCATCTTTAACTTCACAATCAGTGTTTATCTCCTGCTTAATCTTATCAATATCAATCACACCACTCTCCTCATCCCCTGACGACGCGATTATCTCATTTTCACCTTCTTCAACTGTCACCACATTTTCAGTTTTGACACTGACAGTTCCTTCCGCGCTTTGTGAACATGAAGCATCATCAAAATTCAAGTTTAAAGTGCTGCTGAGCTCCTGAATCACCTCTAAGGGTAAATCTTCAATTTTTATACCAATATCCGGTATTATAGCGTTGATAACCTCACTACTCTCGACAGTCTGATTCGAACACATGTCCCTCAAAACCTTGGACAACTCCAGCCGCTTCTGTTTGTGAATTTGTTGAATCGCCACATCATACCCCGACGAGTTAGCACAAATCAGGTTCATTTTTTTCCCGTGACTCAAGTTTGTGATATGTGTAATAATTTTCTGGTGAATTTCACCCACATTGTACTGAATTGCTTTTTTGTTCGTCTTCGCCGCCGCTTTCTCGCTTTCGTTTTTGCTGCTTTTTGTGTCAGTTTCAACGGGCTGTTCGTCGCTCACTGGCGGCGTTTTCGGAGCATCAACTACATCATCTTCCGGCATCATAAGCCGCTTTTTTATCATGTCGCTGGTTTCTTGTATTTTCTTCATCGTGTATTCCTCGGTGCCCGAGAAGGGCGACGGGGACCGCGAGTGGCGGCTTTCGGACGCATGAGGGGGCGGTCGTCTTCGGCGGTAACTCCACCGGGGCTGGAAATTGTACTTTGCGCTGTAGCTGCAAGCGAGGTTTTAAAGCAGACGCCTTCGTGGGGGCACTACTTACTACTGGAATTTGCTGTAAGGCCGGTTGTAGTGATAATTGTCGAATTCTGTTCCTCGTCTCAGCTTTTGTTGTTTGGTGTAGTGGCTAAAGATTTTATTGCTTTTGTTGTTTTCGCGGTTCGCTCGTCCGTGCGACATTGTGTAGACACTTGTTTTTGGGTTTAAGGCAATGACTTCTATCGCAATTTCAAAATATTTTCAAAATTGTGTTTATAACCAAAGCGTACGACGTGACATTTGACATGTTGGAACGACGTTGAAAGTTACTAAATTTGTCACTAGATTTTGGTGATTTTTGTGGTGGTGGTGGTTATTGTTGGTAACGAATGAAATGTCATGCGTGAGCTACCACAGAGGGGCGGTGCGTTGTAGGGGGATCCCCTGTGTACAAAGAAAAGCGTTTGATACAGATTTAATTTCATTGTGTTCCACTTTCCTTTAGTAGTTGCTTTTCTGGCTTGAGTGTGTTAACAACCTCAAAGTAAGTCAAGACATTCATTACCACTTTGTTCTTTATCTTATCAGTATGTGCGATATATTTTGCCAAAAGTAGTCTTAAACGAATCAATTTTTCACCGAGAATAATTTTTTTTACCAAAAATGTGATGCGTCGTTGTTATAGTTGGTGATACCTGTCGAAAAGTAGGCCGTGATTAAACAACTGAAAAGTTTGACATTGATGTACACGTCATTTCTGCCATTTTGTAGCTCAATCATTTCATTTCCAGCATAAAAGAGAATTTTGCTTTGAAGTTGCAAACTGCGACACATACTAATCTTATTTTATATTTTAGATGGAACCACAAGCACTGCAAATAATAGAAACCCAGCCGGACGATACCATCCTTTTAAATGAAGAGGCTTTACGCAACATTCTGACACAAGATGAAATTAGAGACAGATATGTTGCAGTTATATCCATCACCGGAGCATTCAGAGGAGGGAAATCATTTCTTCTCAATTTCTTGTTACGTTACTTGAAGATTAAGGTAGTCACATTGAAACCATTTGCAGTTGTCATTGCCCCGTTTTTAGTATCTTGAAAAGCGAAATGTAACTGATTGGTTGACCCCAGAAGATGGACCTTTGAAGGGGTTTTCATGGGCAGCTGGGTCAAAGCGACACACGTCTGGAATTATGATGTGGCCACAAGTTTTCCTAACAACTTTACCCACAGAAGAAAAGGTTTCATTTTGCTGTTATAACCAACAATACAAACTAAATGGATGTTTCAGGTTGCTATTTTTCTTCTAGATACACAAGGGTCTTTTGATAATCAGACCACCATGGATGACTGTGCTAAAATTTTTGCCCTCAGTACTCTTATTAGTTCAGTTCAGATTTACAACGTAATGCGTACTATAAGACAGTATGATTTGACACACATCCAGGTTTGATTTTGGTACGTCAAGGTTAACATTTCACTGATTCATTTTATAGTGTTTTGGTGGTTTTGGAAATCTTTTAACTAACGGTGAAAGCGCTCCTTTCCAGAATTTTACTTTTTTGGTGAGGGACTGGGCGTGCCCGTATGAACATCCGTATGGCGATATTGGGGGAGCTGCAATGCTTGAACAAATTTTCAGCAGCAAAAATCCAGAAATTCAAGAACAAGTTATCAACATTAAAAGCTTATTTAATGAAACGAATTGTTTTTTAATGCCATATCCAGGTCGCACTGTTGATGCTTCTAATACTTTTAACGGCAGCTTGGATGGTTTGTATGTTGAAAGTTAACTGTACAGATTTTTTTTGTCTCTTTGTAGACATCGACGAGTCTTTCTTAGATAACGTGAGTGACTTTGTGACACTCTTGTTGTCACCGGAAAATCTCGTCTTGAAAACTGTCAATGGGGTGAAATTAAAAGCTGAAGACTTTATGTGTTACATAACAGAGTACTGTAATATTTTGAAAGACGGTGACTTGCCGAAAATGGAGACGATTTTCAAGGTTTAAGTCATTTGTGTCACTTAATTTTTTAGTCATATATTATTTTAGGCGACTATTGAAGCCCATCATAAGGCCGCATTGATGCAGGCGTTAAAAATATATAAGAAAAACATGGACGTTGACGTTAAATACAGTCCTAGGTCTTCAAACGAAACCGAACTGTTTAAAAAACACACCACAAATAAAATCAAGACCATTGATTATTATACGAAAATTAAAAAAATGGGCGATCCCCACATTTTCGATAAATATTTAATTAGACTGAAAAATGTACGCCATTATTGTAGTTTAAGTAACGTAACTTCAATTCTTTTTTTTAGGAGGTGGAAACTGAACACAAACGTTATAGAGTATTAAATGACGAAAGAAAGCGGAAACTGGAACAAACGAAGAAGAGAATGGAAGAGGCTCAACGGATGGCGGGTGCTAGAGCTAGTAGTAGCGGCTTGAGTCAGCTTAATACAGCAGAAAAAGTCGGAATAGCGGCTAGTGTTATTGGCGGAGTTGCAGTTTTAGCGTTTGGTGCCTCAAAATTGTTTTCTAGCTCTAGAGGTAACAATGATTAGGGAACTTTAAGATAATGATTTATTCACTTTTATTTGATGGAGACAGCGTACTAATAAAATTTAATTCGCTTATTATGTAACGTTGTGGTAAACTACTGCATTAATATTAAATTATTACACTAAAATTATTAGCAAGTACTAGCCCCGCCCACCCGCCCTTTATTTTCCTTGAGGATATGTCATTCGCCAAAAATCAGTCTTAGCAAGTACTAGCCCCGCCCACCCGCCCGTTATTTTTTTAGGGGGTATATCATTGCTAAAATCAGTTTTATCTTATCAAGTTAAAATATTTTAAACTGGTTACTAGGTATACAGAGGAGAGTTGGTTTTAGAAATGTTTAGTCTAAAGTATCAAATGATACATCATTAAGGCTTGTCCCAGAAAGTTTTGCACATGTTTTGTTTTTGAATAAAACAAGAACGCCTCAACAAATCGAATCAAATTTATTTACAGTATACTAAAACGGCAATAAAATTATGAATTTCTTAATTACTTGTTTAAAATTAGGGCTTACGGGAAAATAATCTCACTTTAGATCTAATGCGACGCAATATTTTTTGCAAATTTGCACTAGAAACTTTTTTACTTCCCATCATCCACAATTTTTTGAAGAATTCAAAATTTTTGGCGCATTTTCCTTTTCTAAGAATTCCCTTAACTAGAGCCCAATATCTTTCAATAAGCCGGACTTCAGGTGAGTTTGGGGGATTATTTTCTTTGTCTGGATATTGGACTCTAATCTGCGCAAACCAATTCTTTGCTAATTGTGAGTAATAAGAAATAGCTAGGTCTGGCCAAAAGAAAGTAGAACCTGGGTGAGCTCTTAAAAAAGATAGTAATCGAGCTTGAAGGCATTTTCGGACTCAAAACTCAGTATTGATGCTGCTTTCAACAAAAAAACCCTGTTTCTCTTGCCACATTGGCAAATTGCCTGCCAAATAAGAACTTTGCCGCCAAATTTTTTCAAAAAAATATATTTTTCTTTGGCGCTGACATCTATCAATGGTCCTTTTTATCGTCCACCGCGTGGTATTAGCCTTTTTCGCTATTAAATGTAAAGATTTTTGAGAATGTTCGGACCAAATTTTGCAAAATTCGTTATCTTACACTAACTCTTTTTGACGACATTTTGAGAACCGACTGATTAAAACAAAAAAACTTATGACAGATGTGAAGACCATGGCCTAGTGTAGCATATATATTTTACTTAATTCAAATGGCGGTTAAACAACTTTAATAGCAGAATTTAAATATGGTGCAAAACTTTCTGGGACAAGCCTTATTTTGAAGTTTGTAGAATTTTTATTTATTTGACAATCATATTTAACACGCTTTGAAATTTAGTTTAAACTTTATGGGTATTCGTGAAATTACGTAAGCGATTATTTATACTTTGAAGGTGAATTACACTGTCAGAAAGGCTGACAACCACAGAAGTGAGATGAGAACATTTTGGTGTAGAGTTGACTTTAGCCATCACAGTTGGTATCATTGATGTGGTTGACACAACATTGACAATAAAGAAATTGGCGTTTTATTACCTTAATAAGGGATAATAATGTTCATATTGCCGACTTGTTTAGGAAATTGGAGCGTGGTGATTACATTAAACGTACGATTTTTATTTAAATCACTTTATTTATTCTCCTTAATTCACAAGCTCTAATTAATTTTTAATTACAAAAGCTTCTTGCACTTGGCGTTATGAAATGCAAAGTCGTTTATACAAAATATACAATCATATAATCTTATTAGTCTAATCGTTTCTTTTAAAAAGTATAGTACAAAACTTATAAAGGAGTGCACAGTTTCTGGAAATTATTTCTAAAACATCTGGTTTGTTCAGAACGAACAGGCACAATAAAGGCACTATTGTATACTATAAGTACTGTATTTAATGCTAGAAGTTTGTGAACAATCTACGAGTCAGTTGCGTTGAGTATTTGCGATTGTAGTAGATTTTCACGAACTTTACAATTTATATTTAGTCAATACTGAATGCTCGTTATTTACATATTTACAACAATATGTAGTCAAAATGATTAAATATCCAAGGCTTTGAGATTTGATCTAAATGGAATGACAATTTTAAACGTTAATAAATTAGTCATAAACTAGAAATTTCACAGATATTTGAAGTCTATAATGGAACTCTATGTCTAAAACAATACACTAAAATGTGATTAAAAAAGTCAGGAACAATACAATAAATACAATATAAAAAAAAAAAAAACAAATATATGTACACATTATTCTGAATTACAGAAATTAAATTTAAATAAAAATAATTTTAAAAACTCTAACAAGTTATATTATAAAAAAAAGAAAACAAATCAAAATATTAAATAATATCACACTATTAACACGTTTCCGTTGTGTCACCAGGTGTTTCTAAAAATCACGAGATCATACTCCTTATCACTTTAGAGTCTAACATAATGCAGTCATAGTCATATGGGCTTCCTCAATTTCGTTAAAAACCTACGACTAAAATTGCACAAAAAAGTCACGGAGCCCACACTCCACTGGCCCGAAGTTAAACAAGCACTGTAAGCACATCCGCACTCCCGCTCGTATTCTGCGAAGTCCTCTGTTTATTTACATTAATAATACTTTTGCTAAAGTCTTTGTGTCCCGAAGAATCGTCGAACGCCGCTGTGTTCTTCCTCACGTCGGGATTTTGCGCCTTGTACAGCATGATCTGGCTGCTGCGGTGGGCCGGGCTCAGCCCGTCCAGCTTGATCCCGTCCCCGATCTTCATGGAGTTGTTGTCGTTGCTGGTCCCGGGCACCACCAGCATGGTCTTCCTCGAGCCCGGGCAGTCCACCTCGGAAATCATCTCCAGCATCTCGCTGGAGGTTTCGTGCGGCAGCATGGAGCTGAGCGGCCGGACCACGCTCACCTTGGGCAAGTCCAGGCCGCACGCGCCCGCCGAGTTGATGCTGGCCATGCTGCCGCCGTCGTCCTTGAGCGGATTCGCGTACCTGCGCAGGTTCTCCTCGTTCTGCAGGTTATTGGACTTCTCGTCCTCGTGGTTGCGGTGGCAGGTGTCGGACGACGGCGACAGGTTCATGCCGCTGAGGCCGAGGTTGCGCCGGCGCTGCCGCAAGTAGAGCAGACCCACGGCGACGGCCGCCACCAGGCCCAGGGTTATGAAGCACACGAGGGCGATTAGGTATTTGTTGTTGGGGGGCTCCTCGGAGACGAGGGCGGTTTCCACCTTCACCTCCACGATGGAGGTGAGGGCCAGGACGGTGGTTTGCTTGCGGGAGATGGCTTCGCCGATCACGCGGATGCCGTCCAGGACGCCGGCTTGGCCAGACTGTAACGAAGAAACAACAAATGCTCAACTTAACCCTCATAAATAAGTTAGACGCTTTAAAAGCTAAGACATTTTAACGATAACGACTATTGACGCGGAAATGTACGGCATTCAGGCAAGATTTCTATCATTACGAGTACTAGGAATAATTACTAACATTGTATTATTAATTATTATTCTTTAGCAGACAAGTATGGTGTAAAAATATTTTGGTAAATTTAACTTTTTATTTATGTATTTATTATTTTATTTTTAGGTCCGCCTTTGACTTTGAATATAAATTTGCCGATTGTCCCCGTCGATCCTCCTCCTCCTCCCCGTTATCCTTTCGTGGACTACAAAGATTTTTTCTTTATGATTCAGAATTCCTTGTAAGGACGTGTTACGATGTAGTGATGATTGTAAGAGTTAATAAATGTGATAGTTCTATTTTAATAAAAATTTCAGTCAATCTGTGTACTAACATGTGAATTGGGTTTGCTGTTTTTTATGGGCAGCGTGATCAACTACTTACCAGAGTGACTTCGACGGTATCATTGTAGTCGATCTTGAGATCGCACAGCAGCACCAATTCGTTCTGCAAGTCGTTGGCCGCCTGCTGGTTAGCCAGCAACCTCCTCAGGTCCCCGCACAGGCTCTCCACCGTCACCCCCGGCGGCAGCTTCATCCGGTCCAGCAGCAGCGTCAGCCTGGCGCACGTGTTGCTCAGGACCGCCTGGTTGGGCCAGCACGTGCTGGGGCTGGGCACCGACGGCGGCTTCACCCTGCGCCCGCTCTCCAGGTCCCTGCACTCTCCGTAGGGCTGACACGGCGGCGACAAGCACGACTCCGACGGCGACGGCACGCACACCTGGTTGTTGTTGCAGTTGTTCATCCTGTCGCTGCTGCGGCAGTTCCCCAGGCCGCACCAGAGCTTGGTGCACTTCACCAAGCCGTTGATGCACAAGCAGGTGTTGCATTCGTGCTGCCACGTGATGTTGTTCTCGAGGGTGTGACCCTCCCACGTGCAGCTTCCGGGCGACGGGAGGTGGGAGTTGTCTGGAACTGAAGATGAGGAAATTGTTATTAATGAGGCGATCGCGACATGTGTGGGAGATTTGCTGTATGACTTAATTTTCTGGTGATGGCCACGTATGACAAATTACGTACCGTTGCACTGCTTTCCGCTCCTTCCGGGCGAGCAGATGCAATCGAAATCGTCGATTCTGTCCAGACACGTCCCGCCGTAGCCGCAGGGGTTCGAGGCGCAGTCGTTGACGTTGATCTTGCAGTCGGGGCCGGTGAAGCCGGGGGCGCACTCGCACAGGAACCAGTTGACGCCGTCGATGCACTTGCCGCCGTTCTGGCACGGCTGCGGGATGCAGTCGTTGACGTCGTCCTGGCAGTGGTTGCCCTCGAAGCCGTCCTTGCAAATGCACTGGTAGTAGTCGCCGGTGTTGACGCAAGTGCCGCCGTTGAGGCACGGGTTCGAGCGACAGGCGGTTTGTTTGGCGATGTGGCACGTCGTCCCTGCAATTTTGACAGTTAAGACGAGTTGGCAGTTGTAGAAAGACAACTCACCTTCCCAGTCTGGAGGACACCTGCACACGAACGTCTTCCCCAGGTCCTGGCACGTCCCCCCGTTTTTGCACGTGGTGTGGTCACAATGGCTATCTTTCAAAGAACACGTTTTACCCTTCCAGCCGTTCTTGCAGTTGCATTCAAAATCGGCGATTCGGTCCACGCAAGTTCCGTTGTTGCGACAGGGGTTGGGGCTGCAGTCGTCTGTGTCTACACAAAAGGCGTTAAAAGGATTTCTTTTATGGAAGAAATAAATACTTACTGATGTTGCATAAAGCCCCTTCCCAGCCTTCTTTACAAATACACTGGAATGCGTTGATTTTGTCCACGCAGGTGCCGCCATTTTCGCAAGGGTTGACCTTGCAGTCATTGATGTCTATAAAATAAGGGTTAATTTTTGCAACCTTACTTGGAAGAAGAACTTACTTTCATGACAGTACTTTCCGGTAAATCCGGGCTGGCATTGACACCTGTGGCCGATTCCGGGGAGGTTGACGCAGTGGCCGTGTTCGCCACAAATACTGGGGGCTGTGTTCCTGCCGCTGCCCACCGCCACCACTATACAACTTTCGATTCCTGCAACAAGATTAGCTTCCTTATTATGGGATATAGTTACTATAACCACATTAGTTTTGCATACTAATAAAATTTTACAAGCTAAAAATAAAACATTTGAAGCTTCCCATAGATTTTGGTCGTCAAAGCTAGAAGAGGGCCGTGTTTTAAGGTGGCTGTAAACGCAATTTTCCAAAGAGGAAGGAAATCTTGATGCCACATAAGACAGAAAAATATACCACACTCTAATTTGAAAAATTAATGTTTAACGTTCATTTGTTTTGGCTACGACATTCAATTTTGATTTTTTTTAATTCTTATTATATATTATACTTTCAATATTTTCAAACAATACATAATTTAATACATATTTGGAAAAGGAGTAATGAAGTTCATTAAGAAGATAATAAACTCTAAAAAAAATTGGTCGAAGGTTATTCTGACAGAAGTTCCCTCGCTCCTAAAGGACACTCGAACAAATATACAGTTGCCGCCAAAAAATTTCAGACGTCAATGTCATTCAGTCGTCAGATATTGTAAAGCAACCTTTAGATGTTTCTAACCTAAATACATATTTGACAGTCATTTTTAACTTTTACATTTGACACTTACATGAATGTAGCTGTAGCGTAAGCTGGAATTTTGAAAGTTTGACATTCCAGCTGTCCGAAATAATGACAATAAAGCATAGACTACATTAAAATTTTTGACATGACAGAAAAGTGACGTTTGAAATTTTTTGTCGGAAACTGTAGCTTCGAAAAATGATAAAGTTTAACTTTGAGAATTTTATAATGAGCTACAGCTCAAATTTGAAGAATTAACTTCGTAATTTTGATTTGTTTTAATGAATTGCGTGTCTAATAGACAGTTAAATAATTACTGTTGATCCTAAAATTAAAAAACCACCACCTGTTTGCTGAATTAAGTTGATACCAAAAAACTCCAAATTTGAAATTTCATGACAAAAATGTCAAAATAAAATAAATAAAAACGTGTTTTGAATGAAAACCAGAATCATCCTAACCTCAGTTTTTTGACATGTACATCTTGGTATCAAAAATCTTCTTAGACAACGTTGTCGGTTGAGTGGTTTTTTAATTTTTGAATAGATAATCGTCATTAATAATTTAATAATAATTTGGAAGAATACGATCCACAACGTCAGTTTTTGCTGTTGACAGATGTCGTTTTTGATTATTTTTATCGGAATTTTGGACTGTCAATTAAAATTCACATTAAAAGATATCAGATTTACGAAGTTTATTTTAAAAAATTTGGTTCAGTAATTTTTTTTTTAATTTTTTCGTGTTCTTGAGATACTTTTTAACAACATGCAGTTGGCTTCAGAAGAAATGGGAACTGTCAAAGTTACTATGACAAATTTCTGTGTGAATTTTTCTAGTTAAACAGGACTATTTTGAAATAGGTTAAAACAATAATGACATTGCAAAAGTTTTGTGTCAAAATAGTGACCAATATTTCGCAAATTTGTCAAATTGACAAGTAAGAGACAGGTACATTTTACATTGTACAAAAATTCCATGCCCGCTTTTTCTGGAGCCAACTGTACATCCAGCTGTTCTGTCATTTTTAGATCATGCTATACAGGTGATCCATTAAAAAAAACTAAGACGTGTGTTACACTTTAAAAACGGAAAACTGTATACTTAAAAATAATTTTACAGGATAGTCCTCAAAGAATCGTACAATTTTGCGGTTTGATTTTTTTAACTTAAACTATAGTAATCGAGTTCAACGGACGACTTGCCACTTTCATGTTTTCCCGACGTTTCATGGATAAACTAAAATTAATATATGTGAATTGTTAAAGTACAGGTAAAGAAGCATGGATGGATGCGTTTTTAGTGACTTTTTCATATAATTTTTTTTTGAACACGTCATCAACCTTTTAGCAGGGACACTACTAACAACAGTACTGTATCCTCAAATTTTCGAGAAAATGGGATGGGTAATGAAATATATCGCCTCATTGATTAATTTTCAAAAACAACAACAAACAATTCTAAAAAATGATGGGGATGATTGGCCAAATTTTGATTAGTGTTTTATCATCTACTCGATATTCTTAAAATACCGGGTGTCTGGAAAATGGCGGATCAACTCTTCAGTATGTTCCGGGGTTTCGGGAGCAACTCCTCGAGTTTTCGATTTTTCCCATTTTCATTTTTCGATTTGCAATTTTTTGACTTAACATTTTTGCATTTTTTAGACTTTGTTCGTTTTCGTTTCCTTAATTTTTCAATTTCTCATTTTTTTTATTTTTCAACTTTTGGATTTTTTAATCTTCGCCAATTTTTAGAACTTAGGTACGATTTTTCGAATTTACAAAATTTCGGTTTTTCAATTTGTGATTTTTTTATGTTTTACTTCCCGAGCGTAAGCAAAGGAAGTATTGTAATCGAGTCCGTCGGCCGACTCTCTACTTTTACGTTTTCTCGATCTTTCATGACCCCTAGAAGACGAAGAAATAGGTCTCCCATTTCCGTCTGTCTGTCCGTCTGTCCGTCTGTCCGTCTGTCCGTCTGTCCGTCTGTTGTCACGGATTTTTATTAGACAGATAATCTCCGAAAGTACTCGACCGATTGTTGTGAAATTTTGTACTTATATTAAGAATATCATGTAGATGGTAAAACGCTAACCAAAATTTGTCGAATCATCCCCACCACTAAAGCGATGACGTCACTTCAAAATTGTACATAGTAAATGGGTTTTCAATTGTATAAAATAACATAGTCCTACACATGTAGTTTACAACTCTGAATCGACTTTTCACCCGAAACGTCCAGATTTTTGGAAAAAAAATCAAAATTATAAAACAACATTTTGAAATTTAATTTTTAATCTGCTAACCAGAATGCTTTGAAATGTTGCAGATGTTTTAAGGCTATAAAGAGCATCATAAATCTTTAGTCAAAAAATATTTGCTTATCCCCTCCAAAAACTTGATGACGTCAGCTCAAAAGTTTGTGGAATAAATCATATCTAAAATGTACAAAATATGATGAGTCTGTACTTGTGAACTATCACTCCATTAATATTTTTTGGATTTGCATATACAGGGTGACTCAAAAAAATTAATGAATGCGTAAATATATTTTATTGATTTAATCAGGAACTACAAAACCGAATGCTCTGAAATCTTGCAGATGTTTTAAGGTCATAAAGAGCATAATAAATGTTTAGTCAAAATATATTTGCTTATCCCCTCCAAAAACTTGATGACGTCAGCTCGAAAGTTTGCCGAATAAATCATATCTAAAATGTACAAAATATGATGAGCCTGTACTTGTCATTTATCACTCCATTCATATTTTTTGGATTTGCATATACAGAGTGACTCAAAAAAATTAATGAATGCGTAAATTTATTTTATTGATTTAATCAGGAACTACAAAACCGAATGCTTTGAAATCTTGCAGATGTTTTAAGGTTATAAAGAGCATAATAAATTTTTAGTCAAAATATATTTGGTTATCTTCTACAAAAAACTGATGACGTCAGCTCAAAAGTTTTCCGAATAAATCGTATCTAAAATGTACAAAATATGATGAGTCTGTACTTGTGATTTATCATTCCATTCATATTTTTGGATTTGCATATGCAGGGTGACTCAAAAAAATTAATGAAGGCGTGAATTTATTTTATCGATTTAATCAGGAATTACAAAACCGAATGCTTTGAGATCTTGGGAATATTTTAAAGTTATTATAAGCATGGTAAACTTTTGTTCAAAATGTATTTGTTCATCCCTCCTAAAAAAATTGATGACGTCACCCTTAAATTTTGCTGAATAAATCCTATCTAAAATGCAAAAAATATGATGAGTTTGTACTTGTGATTTATCATTCCATTCATATTTTTTAGATTTTCTTAAGAGGTGGTTCAAAAAAATTAATGAAGTCAATTTATTTTATTGATTAAATTAAAGGCAACACTTATTATTAGTATTACACCCCAACCAACCCAATTTGGTAGACACAAAATTTGTTAAAGGAAAAACTCGGTTGAAACATAAGGGTAGCACGCTTATTTATATCGACTTTAACATTACAGACCTGCATTTGTTTTATGCGTTCACTTGATTCCGCGAATGTGAAATAGACATGTTTATAATCAACCAATTGTGAATTTCACCGTCAAGAATTAAAATAAAACCCAATGTTTTATATAATAAGCGGAAGTCGAAGCAATAAAACCGACGGTCGTTTTGTTTACAGTTTCTGTGTTTGGCTCTCACGTATGCTGTTACGCCTGTCATCTTAAATTAACAATGTTTATACATACACGATTTTCAGTTGCCTCTGATACGTAGGTATACGTGAGTAAATTGTTTCGTTATTTTATTGATTATTACAAATCAATATTCAAACGACCCAATTCATTTTCCCGAAAATTTGAGAATATAATAATTTTATTCTTAGTATTACACTACATCTATCCCAACTGATATACGTGTCCTTGCAAAAATGTTGATGACGTCATCGCAATTTTTTTTAAAATTCCCACTACAAAAATGTAATGAGAAAAAAAACACAATAGGCATGCAGTCGTCAAGTTTCCGACAGCGAGGGAAGTACTGTCTAAACTCTTTAGACCAATTTTTTTTTTCTATTTTACCATTTTACTGTATTGCAATTTTAGGGTTTTCTCAGTTTGTCTAAATTTTCGATTTTCTAATTTTTTGGTCTTGCATGTTTCAATTCTACAATGTTTTCATTTTCCAATTTTTGGAATTTTCAGGATTTTTCATTTTTTGCAAATTTTCAATATTACAATTTTCGATTTTACAATTTTTCGTTTTTTCAATTTTTCGGTTTTTCAATTTCGTGACCTAATTTTTCGATTTCTCTCTTCGGTTCTTTCATTTTTTCGAATTCTTAATGGTTCGATTGTATCAGTTTTGGGAGTTTTCAATTTTATGATCCTTCAATTTTTCTATTTCTCGATATTTCCATGTTTTAGTTTAGTTTTTTTAACTTTTTTTTTGTTGGATGCTTCAATTTTTTTTTTCATTCCTGGAATTTTCGATTTTAGATTTTTCAAATTTTCGATTTTTTATACTGGTTTTTCCATAATTTAGTTTCGGAATTACTTAATTTTTGGAATTCTCGATTTTTCGATTTCTCAGTTTTCCTATTGTAAACTGAAAGACTGAAAAATTGAAAAAACGGGAAATCAAATGAAAATACATATACCTATTCGGAAAATTGCGAATTGAAAAATTTTAAAATTCTAGTTGTTTTGTAGCCCGTCACATCTTCGAAAAAACGTAAAATTCATAAAAAAACGTTATTTTATAAAAGTAAAAGTGGTAAAACTGCATGCACCTAATACGTGAATATCTCGGGCTTACTTTTTGATTTCTTAGTGACGATGATGACTGAAATCGACCTTTTATTTTTTTAGGACAATAACCATAACAATCAGTAGTTATTAATCATTGTGCATTATTATTAATAAAACAAGCTGTTATTTTTCATTAATAAATAAACCAAAAAAAAAAAAAAAAAACATTTAATAAGACACTAAAAAAAGAGCGGGTGGGTGGGCGGGGTTAGTATTTGCTAAGATAAGACTGATTTTGGCAAATGACATAATCTCTAAGAACTTTAATTAAATTATTATAAGAAAAAGACACCAGAGGCTCCAAAGGAATACCTAGAACCTCAAGATTGTTTTAAATTATGAAAACTTTGACAACTTTTCATACGTCAAACATTTTTAACTGCTTACTCGATTTTTGCTGATTTGTACCTTCGCTTTATATCAGGCAAACATTGTTGTTAAATGGAATTTTATCAAATTATTACAAAAACAACACAACCATATCTTTGTAAATTCTAACTGAAATGGTAATTCACGACGGATGAGTGAGCTTTTCGTTGACATGTTGGGATTCGCGTACTCGGCTACTTGTAGCCTCAAAACTAACTTCCCTTAATTGTGGCGCCATCTGTTGAGCATTTACGTAACAAGAAGTTACATTGCGGCTTATGAAAGAAGATAAAACACGGGATGTATTAATTTCCTAGCGTAAATAAACAATCCGTGATAAGTGTGATGGATTCTGTGTACTCATAACATCGTCACATTGTCACTATTCCCACTGCAGTGCTTTACGCTTAATGCAGGTATCACTCAATAACAAGTTTCTCCTGTTCTTAAGCAGATTCTACAAACTACAAAATTATGATATGTTCTTCTTCAATATTTCAGGCGTATTTGGCAAAAATTTCAGGACAAACCAAGTTGTAGTTTTTCTACAACTTTTCTAATTTATTTCGGAAATCTATCCATTAAAAAAGTGCCACTAAAAGTTGTGTCGAAAATTCGGACCGTGACAGCTAGAAGACGGAATTATCAACAGACGTTAATTTAAGTTTGGGTGCATTGTTCGCGAAACTGGCAATCGAAATCGGCACAATGGAAGCAAAGAGAATGGAGTTTAATTAAAAATTAAAGTCCACGACGAAAAAATCATGTCCATCGAACACCGCACAAGTAAATGAACCGTGAAAAAGCTCTCCGACAAAGGATTCGCTGAAAAATATTTAGTCTTCGTATTTTTGTCCGTCCGATGCCTTATTTGCCGTCCATATTGTCCGATGATGCGCGATAACCCGAAAAAAATCCCGATTCAAATCGATGAAATATTACGTCACAACAATGGGAATGAAAAGCAGTTTTTCTTTTGTACGTTAGACGGCGATGCAAGTCACCGTAGCGCGAGTCATGTATTTGGTTCGATACAATACCGCTGATGAAAGATATCAATGCAGCTATCGGTAATCTGATCTCTATTTAGAACTTATTACCAGCAGAGAGATGAGCTGGTCGGTTGTTGTGGGTGTTTGTAATTTAGCAGGAATATTTATGTTGCCAGCCCTGGCAATTTCGCCAGTAAACACTGCGTGGGCCCCCACGATTTCTACGACGACTCAATAACATAACAGTATTGCAAATCGGAGCTGTCAAAGACGATCTACAACGAGGAATCGGCGTAACTGTTGTTTTAGACGGTTGGTCACGTTTGTGTCAAGTGTCGGAGGAAGCGATTCGGGCGGGAAATCCGACACGGTTGCCAACAGTGGGAAAGCGGAACGGCCTAAACAGAATCCCGCGTTTTTTCTCCAACAACCTGACATTCAAATCGCTTTGTAGAAAACCTTATAAGTGTTCTTGCTTTCCAGCGAGGGTGGCCATCGGCAAGACATAGAAGACACAAAGCATGACGCACTGGATCGCGTCAATTAAACACTTTATGAACGGTAGATAAGTGAGAGAGCCGGCCGACCGGTCCGGCTCCATTTCTGCCTCAGCAGGATACAGGAGCCCCCCGGAGCGAACGCCCCCCACTTCAGCTATCTTGAAAATTACCTGTCAACCGGAGCGTCATCCGCCAAGATTCATGCACAATATTAACACTGTTCCTCGCGACTTGGGCCAAGTTTAAAAACAGCATTACTCACCTGCATGATATGTTCCCAGCAATTATTCTATGGACCGCG